TTTTTTTTTTTGCTGCTGACCCAACTACCCTTTTTATAACAATAATAAAAAAAAAAAACCAAAGCAAAAAATCTGAGCAAGAAAAAGAGTGAGTGCAAGACAGAACTCTTTACTGGTCTTTGGGTCTTAGTGTGAAAGGTTAAGGGTATAAGTTGATTAATAGGAAGGAATGGATGGCTAATTGTAACTTCTTTCTACTCCAATATTCCATATTGTTTGTAAATAAAATCTATATGGATTCACAGAATGGGACCCACAGTATAGTTAGTAAAATTATCCTGAATTAGGGATCAAGAAACCTGTTCTACAGCTAGGCATTGTAGCTCATGACTGTAATCCCAGCATTCTGGGAGGCCGAGGCGGGAGGACTGCTTCAAGCCAACAGTTCAAGACCAGCCTGAGCAAAAGCAAGGCCCTGTCTTTACAAAAAAATAGAAAAATTAACCTGGCATGGTGGCACATGCCTGTAGTCCCAGCTACTCAGTAGGCTGAGGTAGAAGGATCACTTGAGCCCAGGAGTTTGAGGTCGCTGTGAGCTGGGCTGATGTCACTGCACTCTAACCCCGGCAACAGAGTGAGACTTTGTCTCAAAAACAAACCAACAAACAAAAAAACATTAAGAGTAGAAATGGGAAGATTGCACTGTTGCTTAGCAGACACCTCCCCCCCCCCTTGCTTTCTTAGGATCCTTCAAATAGCCTTTTTTTGGTTCCGTTTTGGCACTAGCTACACTTCTCCTCCTCTTCTTCATCCACTGCCTCCTAGATCAAAACGTGGGGGTGGAACCTCCCTGAGTCTTGCAGGCCTAAGAGGATGAGCAGAGGTTGCTTTACCATGAGGCACCCACAAGAGAGTCTGTTATATTAATAACAGGTCACACTGAGTGAGGGAACTTAGAGGCAAAGAGGAAAAACATGCCTGGGCAGCTGGAAGTTTTGTGTCATTCTCCACAACGGTGGAAAGTCCTTGGTCATGAGGTTTTAAGAAAAAAGAACCTACTACCCCATATGATAATATACTATTTTCCTCTGGAATTTTTACTTGATGTCATCTTTATTGAGATTTGGGTTGACGTGAAACAGTTTCTTCAAAACAATAATGCACACACATGCTATCTCAAAACAGAGATGGGGCCATGGCCATCCCCTGTTTTACCGCTCCTCCCCTCCACGGGCGTACATTTGAACATTGAGTATAACAAAGGAAATGTGGGAGCCTAGACAGTTCCACCAGCACCAGCCCCCCAACTGATTGCTCACACCTCTTTCTTTTCCAGCTTCTACACAGGTTAGTCTAGTTACCCCCAAACTTGCCAATTCATCCCTCTCCATGGTCCAAGACAAGAAAGGATTGATTCAGGAGTACTCTAGTAGCCTGAGTGGCCCAGCACTGGCCACTGGGCTCCTGTTGTGAAGGTGCTCTGGCCGCCTTGTTGGCCACCATATTGGTCTCCAGGGCTGCTTTAGCAGATCAGTGGGCCTTTATTTTGTCCTACCAGAGTCCTGAGTTATAACAGGGTGCAGCTTTTTGGCCTCTGTTTGGAAACCAGGTTTTTGAGCTGGTATCCTGATAACCAGTTTTCCCTGTACATAATTGATTTCCATTTTTATAGCTGGGCTTCTGCTTTTGAGCTCTTTCTGAATGCTTGTGATAGTCATCTACTCAAATATCTTTCTAGAACAGAAGCCTTGTCTTCATCTTGAAGGCCCCTCTATGCAAAGACTTCAGACCAGTGGCAGGATGGCTCTTGCCAGCACCACTCCCCAGGCATGCATCTGTCTCTGTCCCCAGGATGATGGGTGGGGTCCAGTTATCCATGGATAGTATCCAGGGGGGCCCACTTACCTGTAGGACTTTTAAGTTTCAACTGCTGGAATGCCTTATGACTATGTTCTACATCCAACAGAATATCAAGATCATCTTGATATTGGACTTTTGTTTATTTTAACAAAGCTAACTTAAGTCAACCCCAATTGTTTTGAAGTCAATGGTACTTGAACCATGTCTGGAGATGGTTACTTGCTTGGAAATTCTACCTTGCTGGCCTGCCTACATTTCTGTTATGGGCAAAGACCTGCCCCAGCCCCTACCCCTCTGTGGGTAGGGGTAGAGACAGGTGAAGCTTCTACCTGAATAATTCTGTATTGCTTGAAGTAAATAAATCATCACTCTTCACTGCCAAATTTCCAGATGTGATAACCATCAGTAGTGGGGACAGTATTTTACTCTACATCAGCAGCAAGATGGGTGGAGGCAGCAGGACTTGGTGGTTAAGTCCAAGGGCACTGGAATTTCAATTCTGCTTCCTCTACTTTTTGTTAAATGACCTCTGACTTTCTGTGTATCAATGTTTTCATCTGTAAATGGATATATTAGTAGGGCCCGTCTCATAGGATATTGTGAGGATTAAACAAAATAATAACTATGGACTCTTTAGAGTAATGCCAAGCCTGTAGTGATTGCTCCATAAATGGTTACTAGCTGTTATTACTGATAGGAGATAAGAGGAGTTGAACAAATAGAAGAAAGGGAGGAGAAAAGGAAGAATTAAAAGAGCATGAGAGAGAACCTGTGGAGCGGATAAGTAAAAAGCAAAACCGGTGGACTCTTCCGTCTTCTGCCCCAGAGTGTGAGTAGCTACTATAGGAGGGACAGTCAGAGTCACAGTGTTCCCAAAGCCGTGATTGGAAAGTCGAGGTCAGAGCATAAGACTGTGAGTCTGGAATCTCAGAGAAACTTTTCCAGCATGGAGCAGTCACGAGTTTGCACGCTCAGACTTCCCTTAAGCCAGTGACTTCAAGGGAAAATGGGGATTTTTACCAGCATCTCGTCACTGCTTCTCAGCCTCTCCAACTGCTCTGAATTCCAGGGAAATGTATAAAATCAGTGTCAACTCCTAAGCTCAATACTGAACACAAGAGGCCACCTCTACCAGGAGCAGTAAGTAGCAGGAGGAATGTAGGGTCCATTTTTGTGCTCTGAAGTAATCTTTAAGATGCACACAAATCCATTCAGTAAAGGTGAATAGTATAGGAAAGTATTCTTAGCTTTGCTTTTATGAAAACAAGCCCCACTCCCTATTTCTGGATACCTGATGAAATAAATATCTCACCCCTGGAATCCTTTTCCAGAATCTCAACAGCCCACACCTAAACTCAAACTCCTAACCATCTTTTCTCCTGTTTATGTTTCTTGGACCATCCCAAACAGAAGAGTCCTGCCCAGGATGTCTGCATAATGGAGCCATGACTCTTACTAATAAGGCATGAAATGCAAGCGTCAAACCAACAATTGCATTCGCTAATATTGGTTAAGCACTTAATATATTCAGGTACTATGCCAAATGTTGTACCTGCATTATCATTTTGCTTCTCAAAACAAACCTATTGTATTAGTACTTTCTCTATTTTGAAGTTGAAACAATGGAGTTAGAGGTTATATAGCTTCCTTAGGGTCACAAAGCAGATGGGTGAATGATTTACTATTAGCTGATTTGACAACTTGACTTCAGTTTCAGTAGATGAGACAAGTGTATCCTAGAGCTGCCTTTTTTATTTTTTATTTTTTATTTTTTTAGCAGATGTTAGCCCTTTGAAGAGATCAAGGATTTGAAATCTTAATGAGTGAGGAGGTCAGATGGAGCAGAAAGAGCCTTGGGATTAGAAGAACCAATGTCCATTTCCAGCTCTTCCAATTTAGGTAGTGAAACTTGAGGTTATTTTTTTAAATCACTAAATCTTAGTGATTTAGTGTTTTTGTTTTGTTGCATAATGGAATTCATAATATCTATTTTGCCCATTTCAATGATTTTAGTATGGATGAAATAAGAACATAGGCATAAAAACTATAGAATGCTTTGCATATTAAGTGATATCAAACACCATCCTCTCCAGCCCTTCTCTGGAAGATTAGGGACATCACTAGATTCAACTCTTTTTCCCATCTCCTTGCAATTTCTGTCTGCCATGCTAGAGTGCCCAGCAGAAGCTCTGAAAAGTTGGCCTGACTAGTAGATGCAATCTCCATGAAGCTCAAATTCAAGGAGCCACAACTTTAAGTGGTTAAGGGACACAGAGAGACCACAGTTGATTCAAAAAAACCTTTTCAAAAAATCCTAACTCACTGGGTTCCCTGGATTCTCACTCATGCCAGGAATTTGCTAGTGCATTTTCAGAACCAGTAAGAGATACAAGAAGTAGATTCAGAAATTCTGAACATAGTAAATTTCTGTATAAATGGAGCAATTGTTTGGATTTAGTAAGATAATATGTGCCATTACAAAGCACTCTCTGTGTTAATGTTGCATGGTTTTCTTTGTACCAGTAACAGCCAATATTCATTTTGTCCTTTATAGTTTCTTGTTAAGCCATAAAAGTAAGAAAAATAGGATTTTTAATTCAAGTTCTTTACCTCTTTTTTGAGACTTATTTGTTTAAAAAGGGATAATGATCTCTTTCCCATTTATTTTAGAGTTTTTGGAGGATAAAAGCAGAGTAATAGCCCTAAATGTGTTTTGAAAATAAGGGAGCTTATAGAAATGAAGTTTTCACAATAATAAAAATGAGTCATTCATCACGCTGAGCTGAAGAGCAATGAACTATAATTAGGAAGGATATATCTCTATCAACAACCACATAACACATTCTAATGCCAAGAAGAAATTGCTTTTAAGTTATTCAAGGTTTTGGATGATCTATTCTTTTGCCAGGCCTTATGTGTGGGTTTACCAAGCGCTGACTCCTCTGCGATACATTTTATCTCAGACCTGTGGAGACTAAGCTCAGACACAATTCAGAAGCAGAAACTTTAAAGCTGAAAAACACTTGGATTTGGATGTTGTCTTCCCCCAGCCAGTTAGTTCCCTTTTGAGTACAGTACATGCTGAAACCTAGAGCGATCTGTTAAAAACAGATCAAAGGGACACTTCAATGTCTTCCTTAAGGGAAATTTCTAAAACTTTATGGAAAATGAGAAGGGGATCACCAAGAGTCAGAACTCACAGGTTTGCAGGCAAAGGAGCAAGATCCATAGGTGGTGCTGAGCCATCTTTCCCTGGGGTCTAATCCTTGGACGAGCACAGGATTCTTCTAGCAGAGTCAGTTTCGCTTGAGTTTTCTTACTGCTTTTTATAGCCACATTTAAGAAAGGAAGTGTGAGCTAACTGATTTAGTTAACATTAGTCATTGTATTATTGTGCTAGTTTCTTTTCCGATTATGTAACATATAAAGTGCCTAGCATTAATTAGTTATTTATTCAACAAATATTTATTGAATGCCTACTATGGGCAGACACTATTCTGGGTGCCGGCAACATAAAGAGCAACTAAGCAATTGATCACCTTCCTTTTATGGAGTTTATACTCTTTTTGGAGAGATCAACAATCAAACAGGGAATTCTAATATGGCATCCTCATGGGGACGTTGGTGGGGGATAGGGAAGAGGAAGACTGTCTTGACACATGCTAGGAGCTTAAAAAATGGTAGCAAGTGATATTATATAATTATAGTTACATAAAATAATCTAATAATATATGATATGCTATAATACATAATACAATCGATATACAATTATATTATTTAATATAATAATTATTTAATGTATCATATTGTTAATATATAATTATATGAATATATAACATATCTTATATAATATATAAGATACAATGGGTTTTTAGACTAGTCTACTTTGCAGATGGGGAAACTGAGGCTCAGAAGGAGAGGACGTGACTTTTCCAAAGATCACACAGTGAATTAGTGAACTGAGGTAACAGCCAGCAAGAGTCACTTAGTAAAGACTGGAACTCATGAGCATGAAAGACGGCAGGTGCAAGAGAGGCATGCTTAGGTGGAATTGAGCCAGATGTAACACAGGACTGTTTCTCTGTAGAGGGCCCCCATCCTGGTTACAAGAATAAGGGTGGCCTTGTAATGTGTGTTTTTAGGGGAGTGCCTGGGATGGATGATGGGAATTAATATTTGGGTCCAAAAGCCAAGCAGTTTGAACTTGGACTTGGCTGGTTTGGGTACTTCTGGGAAAGCTGGGGGCACTGCCCCTGAGATGTAGGGGAAGTAAGGTTGTGTATAGCTTTTCCCACTGGGATGAGCCTTCATGTCAGCTAGCTCATTTCTAAGCAACTGAGCCTCTGGAGTAATTCACTAAACAACCCTGCTCATCATTTTCCATATATACTTGTTTACTATTGAATACAGTTGACGCTTGAACAATGTGGGGGCTAGGGACACTGATCCCCCATGCAGTCGAAAATCCATATATAACTTTTGATTACCCTAAAACTTAACTAATACTCTACTGTAGATTGGAAGCCTTACCAATAACGTATAGTCAATTAATATATGTTTTATATGTCTGTAACATTACTGTAGTCTTACAATAAAGTAAGCTAGAGGAAAGAAACTGTTATTAAGAAAATCATAGAGAAGAGAAAACGTATTTACTATTCATTAAGTGGAATTGAATCATCATAAAGGTTTTTGTCCTTGTCATGTTCAGTTGAGAAGGCTGAGAAGAGGCAGAGGGGGGCTTGGTCTTGTTGTCTCGGGGCAGCAGAGGTGGAAGAGATGGAGGAGGTGGAAGGAGAGGCAGGCGAGGCAGCCACTCTCAGTGTAACTTAACGGAAATACTTTGTAATTTCTATCTGACTTTTTTGCTTATTTATTGCTCTAATAAAAAAAAGTTTCTATATGGTACCACTTTCTTCCTTCTTCCACCATTTGCTTTAGTTTCAGTGCCCCTATCATGGAAGGATCCAGGTCGTAAAAGGAGCCAGGAGCAGTCTTGAATAAGTGGAATCCTCCTGCCTGATTGTCTAATGTTTGCTTCTTCTGCATCTTCTTCCTCATCATCTGGCACTGATTCGGAAGTACTCATCTCCTTCAAGTCATCTTCTCTTAATTCCTTGGGTGTGGTGACTATAAGCTCTTGACTTTTGCGAAGATCTATATCTTGAAATGCTTTACTCTCCCACCTTAAAAAAAGTTTTTTTTTTTTTTTTTTTTTGCCATATTCACAATCTCTTTCATGATTTCTTTGATTGGCTCTATTGTAAATCCTTTGAAGTCATGCACAACATCTGCACATGGTTTTCTCCAGGAGGAATTTATTGTTTCGGGATTGATGGCTTTTTTTTTTATAACAACAATGGCATTTCAATGGTGTAATCCTTCCAGACTTTTGTGATGCTCTCTCTGTTGGGATTCTCTTCCATAGCATTGAGCCTTAAAAGTCCTCATGACCTCCTGATATAGAGGCTGCATTAGGGACGTTGTATTTGGGGGCAAGTAGATCACTTCAATGCCTTCGTTGTTGAACTCATGGGGCTCTGAGCACTTCCAGTACCACTAGTGGTATTGTGCATGAGTCCTATGGTATTTATTAAAGGTTTACAGTATTGTACTAAATACAAAAGAAAATTTGCAAGAACTGAGAGAGATCACTGTTTATTGTGGCATGCAATTTACTGGAAAGAAAACTGCTCATGCAGAGATGAATAGCATCATGTGGAATTTTAAGTGGATATTGATAACACTTGAGCTCACCTCAATAGCAACAGGAGGTGGCTGCAAAAATTATTGTAGTAATACAGTATGTACTATAGTTAATTTGTGCAGTTATGATTTAATATTGCATCTTTATATTTGTTTACATTTTCCAGAAATGGCCATGTATGATCTGTAAATATCTGTGTAGGTAAGGTTTGATAAATCTTAACTTTTTATAATAGATCTGTATATAGTTTATGGTAGTAAATGATAAAATAAGCTAGTATCTGTGTATATTTTATGTGCTCATGACATATCTTTTTCTTTAATTTTTTTTTTATATTTCTAGGCTACATGGTTGGTCTGCAAGGGTCATGGCAATAGTTTTTTGGAATGCTCAAAATATTTTGCTTGTTGACTTTCTGGAGGGCCAAAGAACAATAACATCTGCTTATTATGAGAGTGTTTTGAGAAAGTTCTCCAAAGCTTTAGCAGAAAAATACCCAGGAAAGCCTCACCAGAGAGTCCTTTTCCACCACAAAGCTTCTGTTCATTCCTCTTATCAAATAAGGGCAATTAATTTTATGTGAGTTTTCATGGGAAATTATTAGGAATTCACCGTACAGTCCTGATTTGGCTCCTTCTGATGTTCTTTTGTTTCCTAGTGTTAAAAAAAAATCTTTAAAGGGCACCTATTTTTCTTCAGTTAATAATGTAGAAAAGACTGCATTGACACGGTTAAATTCCCAGGACCCTCAGTTCTTTAGAGATGAACTAAATAGCTGGGATCATTGCTGACAAAAGTGTCTTGAACTTGATGAAGCTTATATAGAGAAATAGTTTATATTTTTTATTTTTTAATTCCATCTTTCCATGAGCTTTTTGACATCTAAGGTTGAAGAGATGGGTATTTTTGGAGAGAAATGAAACCTCCCAAAAGAAACAAATGGACATTCTAAAATGTTAAAGAAATAATATCTGAAACAAACATTAATTAGATGGGCTTAATGGCAGAATAGGCTGTGTAGAAGAAAGGGTCAGTGACATTGAGAAAATAAAAACTATGCAAATTGGAAACCATTAGTGGGGAACTGCTGTGGGAGCCGCAGGGTTCTCAGTCTGCCAGCTGGAAGCGCGTGCCAGGCTATGGCGCCGTAGCTCTCCCAGGAGCAGGGCAGGAGTGCCAAAGTCGTGGGGGAGTTCTCATTTGGCATCAACAGCATTTTATATTGGCGTGGCATATATCCATCTGGAACCTTCACTCAAGTGCAGAAGTATGGACTCACCTTGCTTGTAACTACCGATCTCAAGTTCATAAAATACCTAAACGATGTGGTGGAGCAACTAAAAGATTGGTTATGCAAGTGTTCAGTTCAGAAACTGGCTGTAGCTATCTCAAATATTGGAAGTGGTGAAGTCCGTGAAAGATGGCAGTTTGATATGGAGTATGACAAGACCGCAGAAGATGATAGTGTACCCAGAGAAAAGTCTCAGAAAGCTAGCCAGGATGAGATCTGTTCAGTGATCGGACAGATCACAGCTACAGTGACATTTCTGCCACTGTTGGAAGTTTCTTGTTCACGTGATCTACTGATTTACACAGGCAAAGATTTAGTTGTACCTGAAAAATGGGAAGAGGCAGGACCACAGTTCACTACCGATTCTGAGGAAGTCTGTCTTTGTTCATTCACTACTACAATCCACAAAGTAAATACGTGGTGGCCTACAAAAGTCCTGTCGATGGCTGAGGATGACATGGGGAAAATCATGTGATATGTAATTTTTAAATGTGGCTTTCCTGAAACCAGGTCAATAAATTAAATAAGATCTAAATAAATGGAGAGAAATACATGTGCATGGAGATTCCATATTGTTAAGATGTCAATTCTTCCTAAATTGATCTGTTAAATTTGACACAATCCCATTCAAAATCCCAGGATTTTTGTTGTGGTAACTGACACACTGATTCTAAAATTCATATGGAAACTCAAACAACCTAAATAAGCAAAACAATTTTGAGAAGGAAAACCAAAGTTGGAGAGCTAATACTACCGAATTTCAAGAATTATAAATTTAGAGTTAAATAATATAGATAGGCTTAAGATAGACAAATAGATCAATAAGGTAGAATAGATAGTTCAGAAATATACCCACATATATGGAAAAATGAGTTTTGATAAAAGTGCAAAAGCAACGAAGTGCAGAAAGGATAGCCTTTTTCACAAATGGTGCTGGAGCAATTGGGTATCTGTATAAAAAAAAGACAGAAAGAAAAAAGAAAAACAGAAAAAGGAAGAGAAAGAAAGAAAAAGAGAACTTTGATGAATACCTCCTACCATATATAAAAATTTATTCAAAATGGATCATGGACCTAAACATAAAACATAAAGTTATAAAACTTTAGAAGAAACCATAGGAGAAAATATTTACCACCTTAGTGTAGACAAAGAGTTCTTAGATTCAACACCAAAATCACCAAATTCAACACCAAATCAGTCCTTAAAAGAATGACTTGATAAGTTGGACCTCATCAAAATTTAAAATTTCATTTTTGAAAGGCATTATTAAGAGAATTAAAAGACAAGCCACAGACTGGAAGAAAATTTTTACAAAACATGTATCTGATAAATGACTTGTATCCAGAATATATAGA